CTACCCCAATTTTTCTTTGTGGATTCCAATAGCCCTTGCAAAGATCTACGTTTTCGTCGTGGTCTTAACCTGGCTCAAAAACCTTTCTATTTATAGGCACCGTCCTTAATTAGTGCGGAAATCGCAAGAATTGTCGTTCAAAAGTGAAGCTTTCACAAAGGGACAGTTTGGACCATATAACAGATATAACCGTCTCATCGAATTCAACGCTTTAGGGTGCGACTGACAAAGGAAAGGGTTGATCCTGCCGGAGCAGCAAAACGTTGGTCTGAGCATAGTTAATAGGTCAGAGGCTTATGCAAGAATGCGATATAGCGTGTAAGATGCAAACGCAGCATGGAACATTACACACCATTCCCCTGTGTGTTGGCGTTTAGTTATAGCTGGAGGGATTGACGGTTTTGCCCGGTTAATGTATTTACAGTGCTTGGACAATAACCGCGCCAGCACAGTTGTCCAATGCTTTTACCAAAGTACACGACAGTATGGCTTTCCATCTCGAGTCAAATATGATACTGGTTTTCAGTAGGCTACGAAGTCTGGGCTCGGAACTTTTTTACGTGAAGGAAGGCATTCCCGCCCACATAATGTATGGCGACACTCGGGATTTATAATGTACAATACTTTGCTCGGTACGCTAGACGGTGTGGCCATAACAGCGATACCAACAAACCAAGCGCACTGGAAAATATCGAAAGAATAGAAAGGATCGGAAGATCAAGAATAAAAACGCAAGCTCCGAAAACGTAGAAAATGGACAACATAAAAGCTCACAATAGGTCTGATAGTAACGCAGGCTGTAAAGCGATAATGGATACGTTTGACAGGACCCGACAGGCGAGCGTTGCGAGCCGAACCATGCTTTCAATGAGCGAATAAAAATACGAGAAAATACAGGGCTGTGACAACATCGTCAGCCAAACAAAGTACTTTATTGTCATTTTGTTTCATATTAAATTTACAGGACGTAAATTCCAAATGACAGTTAATTTCGATGAGGCCTAACGCTACGAAACAGAAACAAAAACGACAAAAAAAAAAAA